GTCCCCTTCCAGACATGCCTCTAAGATTGACATTTGCAGACAGACAGAGGCCTTCTGCCCCAATCTTTCTTTATAAGTGAAGCCCAGCTATCTTTGTAGTCTAACTTTGCATGGACTTTTTATTCTCTGAAGCCTCCCCAAGTTAACTATAAGAGTTCTCTTTGGTGCCTACATTTCCTCTACTAACCTCATTTACGGGTCCATCCCTCTCCAAGTGAGCATAACCATTGCCGATCTTGCCTGGACCATGCCACCGATGGTTATGACATGACACCTCGGTGACCTGTATATCCACTACAGTCCACGAAACCCAGGGTAGCTACCTTGGAAAGCAATGCCCTTGCAGTCTGTGAAAACCACAGCACAGTGACTTTTCTTCTTCCAGGGACGGTTAGCCTGGGTTGGAATCCCTTTCCCACCCTCCCCATCTGGGTAGCCTTGGACAACTTAATAAAGACCTCAAGATGCAACCTGCTTCAAGTGTGAAGTCTCCAGTGCAAAACGATACCACAGCGTTTGTTCTGCCGTGCCCCTCGAACAACAAGGAAGGACACAGAGGGAAGTGCATTCTTTGCTGAGGGTTTAACAGCTAGAAACTATTATCATTAAGCATAACAATGATCCCAGCTTGAGAGTCATATATAAGGGGATCTTTCCATCTCCAGTCATTAAGTCAGAAAATAAGGGGGGGAATCAATAAATAGTACTTTCTGCAAATAGAGGTCAGGTCAAGAAAGGGGCTGGCTAAACCAGGATAATAGATCCCTAAATGGATTCTTACAGGGGCTTGGAGTGCTAGGGGGCTACAGTGAGAGACTCACTCCCTTTCTTTCAAAATCTGGCCTCTGCCATTATCAGTGACAAGCTCGGGCCTTCATAGAACGAACGGTTTGTGTTCGTTTTGGTTTCTAGTGAACAAATAAACAGGCAAAGAGACTCCATGGAGATTGCAGTGGAAGACAAGAGAAAGGAAGACAGGTGTTGAGTAGCAGAAGGAGGAAACGAAGCTAGTTGGAAAGACCAGCTGGAAGGTGGGATGAAGGATGGGGGCAGGGTGTGGGGTTTCCCCCACTGAGCTCATCTGTGGGGAAGACATCACATCTGTTTCCATGGAAGATGTCACCCTGCCCGGAGACTGAAGAAAGCCCTCACAGTTTCCCCAAACTGACAACATTTTCGTTTCTGTCCCCCACACAAGTGAGACCACAGAACATTAACTAGGAGTCACCAGCTGGGCCTTGAGTCCTTTCCAAACTGGTTCCCTCAACTTCAGTCAGTGGCAAAATCCTCTACCACTTGGCTCAGGCCCTAAACCTGGAACCACCCCTCTCCTGTTCTTGTTCTCTGTTTCTGCTTCCCTTCTCCTCACCTGCTCCCTGCTCTAAACTCCCTGACCACCTCCCTTCCTTCTGCTACCGAGATCAAGACACCACAGCCTCTCCCTTGGCCTCCTACAGCCTCCGAAGAGACTCTTCCTGTCCTTGGTTCTGTTTCTTCTCTCTTCAATCCCTTTCCCACATCACAGTCAGAGTGACAGATGTAAAAGGCAATGTAGCCAGATTTGCTGGCATTCACTTGAAATCCCAGCACTCCAGGGACAGAAGGAGGATTGTAAAACTCGAGACCAGGCTGGCCTACATAATTACAGGCTAACCTTGGCTGCCCAGTGAGCCCCCTGACTCAAACACACAGTCCTGATGTTGTCACACTTTCTGCAGCTGGAATAAACAGAATCCCATGTCCTAGAGGAGCTTCTCCATCCAGCTGCCCTAAACTTCAGATCTCACTCATCTCAAGATCCCCTTGCTCTCCTCCCAGGCACCCTCGTCTTTCTGCTTCTCAATTCCGGTTGCTTCCCACTCAGGGTAAGCATCCTCGTGTTCCTTCTCTGGGATGCTCTTCACCTGTGCCTGAACTTACCCTCGTCTTTTGGGTTTTCTTGTCCTCCTTAACTCCTGAAGAAGCCTTCCATAGTCATGTTAGCCCCTCGAATCACCCTCCTACCCAGACTGCATTGGATTTCACCACACAGTAGTGATGTTCACGACTTGAAGTTAGCCTGTTGGTTACTGTTTCCTGTCAGTCTGTCTATACTTGAGTGTAGGCTTCAGTTCCTGCCTGGAACACACCCAGTACACAAGAAACCCTCAGAAAGACCTTGTAGAGTAACGACTGTTGAGTCAGTTGCTGAGACACCTGAAGTCTTATGTCTTTCTTCTATAAAAAATGTGAGAAAGGACAAAAAACACTTTGAAGGTTACCGCGACGGCATGCCCAAGGATTCTAAGGGACACAATGTCTGAGAGGCCTTCAGCTTACTTAAACTTCTCCATTTGTCCACTTTGGGAAAGACGGTGTCCCTAAGCAATATGGGAGCCATTAATTAGGGGGTGGAGTTCATAACGCTTCATTCTGTGTTGCCAGTTTTCTTGCAGCCCCGAGGCTGCTTCTAAGTGGACATGACATAGGCTATCCTGATGAGCTGTCTGGAGAGCCAGTGATGCCATCTGAGGCTACAGGGCCAGCACCAGCCTATTCCTACTAGCCTTCTGCTGGGAGGTGCCAGAATATGTGGCGTTCCCAGCTCGGGACCTGGCTGTGCCTCTTGGAGATGACTCTCCTGGGAGATCTCCCAATAACCCCAGAGGGATTAGGAAAACTAATCTAAAAGGTTGGCCTCTTAGAACATTGCTTTTCATGGAGGGCACCCAAACCGAGCGATCCTCTGAGCTTCATTCCTTTAGGACTGTTGAATCCCTTTAGCTAGAAGAGGCAGAGGCAGCATTTGCTAATTGAATAAGTGAAGGCTACATCAGAGAGCCATCCTGAGAGGGAATGAGCCCCCCCTGGAAAGTGATCTCTGCAAGGGCCCTGGCCAGGTCCTGTCACAGCAGAACACAATCCCCAGTCTCTATAGCAAAGAGTATAACCATGTCTCAGCTCTGTATTTCGAAGCCTGCTGGAGCCCCACATTTGCCCTGAATCAACCCAAGGGAGTGGGGTGGTGGGGTGACAGGAAGATGCGCAGCTCCAGTTCCCTCCTTCCTCCATGTCAAGATGAGAAGTGAAAAAGCAGCAGCGGTCTAGGAACAGACGGCTGCTGTGCCCTGAAATTGACAAATTCCCTTCTTGGAAAGGCGAGGGGAATAATCTATAAAATAATTTATTTAACAGTATGCCTGCTCCCAGCACCATAGACAGAAATGGCTGGTTATCTGATTCATAGCTTTAGAGACGTTGGGCCTCTCTTTCTGCCTTTCTTTCTCTGGCAGGGCTCTCATTTTAAAGAATGATTTTTGATCCAAGCAGGAAAGAATTTCTTTTTATTGTATAGGCATAAAGCTTCAGATCCAGGGGAAAACCTTCTAATAATTAGGAAGAGAGAGCTGCCGGCTCCACAGGACCTGTGTCAAGCCCTGTCAAAACGGTTCCCCTTCCACGTACTTCCTTGGCCACTTGAGCATCTACAAGCCTCTCATTGCAGGTGAGAAGTTTCTAGGGATGCCGTTGAACAGCAAATCTATGAGAGATGACTGCACCTGGGCTAGAGAGAGAAACTCCTTCAGTTAGAGACTCAACGACATGGGGAGATTCACCGAGGCCATAGGCATTTTCCTGACTGTACCAGACACGGACCAAACTAAAGCAGGGTTGCAAAACCAGCAATCCTCCTGGTTCCACAGAATCGGCTACTCTTGGGGCAGTCACAATAGACAAACTTCTGGAAGAATAGAATCTCAAAACATGTTTTTCATGAATACAGGGAGGCAGAGGTCGTAATACTTTCACACGAACTAAGGAGACTTGGGGGCACAATGTAAGGAGGCACCAGAGATTTCAGCACTCAAGCTAAGTGGCATCTTAATATTGCATTTAAAAAAAAAACCAGAATTAATGGGGGGATATCCATCATGAACGAAATGTCAAATTTCAGATGAGGACCGGTTCCCAAGCTTCATCTGCATGACTCTCCTCAGGGTCCTTAGTCTCCTCTTAGCCGGTTGTGGCATTCCTGTGCTACCCGGTGCCTGGCGGCGTGACAGCAAGAATGATAGATTAGGAAAGCAGCTGAGTTTCTGTTCTTTGCCTTGTGTGCGCCCTCCTAGGCCACCTGCTCTTATCCAAAGAAAGCAAGAGACTCCTCCCCGGGATGTTTATGGGCAACAGTGGGAGCAAAACCCCACAGCCCCTGCTTTTTGTAATTGCAGATCCCTTTCAAACAAAAGTGTGAATTGTGCAGGTATACATGTGTGTGTGTGTGTGTGATCTATGTGTGTGCATGTGTATGTGCTTAGGAATGTGTGCATGTGTGTATGTGTGTGTCCAACATATGTCTGTGTGTGTGTGCATAAGCATGAGCATATGTATGTGCATGTGTGTGTGTGTTCACTTGTGTGGGTGTTTATGTGTAAGCATGTCTCTGTATGTGTGTATGTATACGTGTGTGTATGCATGTGCACGTGTGCACATCTGTCATACAGGGCTCCTCACTCATCCTCAGGGACTGGTTTCCCGGTCTTACTGCTCGCATGTCCACAACTGCTCCTCCTCTCCACTGGCTCTTCCTCCTTCTCACCTTCCCTCTGCAAGGAGCCAGCTGCCATGCATCAGCCTGCAGTGTTCTTTAGGCCCAGGCCCCAGCATGCTCCCTGTTCTTACGCAGTAGAAGAGCAAGTCAGAGGGTGGGGTAGATAGAAAAGATGGCGAGGATGTGGTCCTTGAATTGTGCCTAGACAGATGGCAGCTAGTTCTCTGTGGCCCTTTGTCCTGCCAGCCTGTGCAGTCAGGCTGTGGGAACTGCACACTTTCCAGTCCTCAGCACCGCCCCGTCTTCTGGGACATCCTGTTGGTGACATCATCCCCCTCAAATCACTGTCACCTCAGACCTGGACTCTCACAATGGCCAGCTAACTCACTTTTTCCTCCTATACCTCATATCCTGACCCAGTCTTCTCTCTTACCAGTCAGAGTCTTTCTGTAACGTTTAAGAGAAAATCATTAGTATCTGTGTGTTGTTGAACTGCTGACCAAGGATTTAAAGATAGGTCCACAAATAAGTCCTATCCTGCAACCCAGAACTCATTGTTCAGAAAGAGTTTGATACATATGAGAAGGACTGTGGTACCAGAGCGCTCACAGTGATGGCGGTGTTCATAAAAAAGAATAACGGAAAAAGAATAGATAATTCAAAATTTAAAAGAGAGTCCTGATGTGCCACTTTTTACTCAGGCTCCGTGAACCAGACCTCGTCACACTTGGAATGCATCTGAAACTGAATGGAGTGGAGAGATGGCAACTGTTAGGGGTGTCTGCTGCTCTTGACGACACCATGTTCTAGTCTCAGCATCCATGTCAGGTGGCACACAACCGTCTCTAACTCCAGTTCAAGAGATTTGATACCTGCTTTGGCCTCTGAGGGCATCTGCAGACCAACATATTCTCTCTCTCTCTCTCTCTCTCTCTCTCTCTCTCTCTCTCACACACACACACACACACACACACACACACACACACACACCCCTATATACCACAAATAAAAACAAATCCAAGGGAAAATAAAAATAAACCTTAAAAGTAAAGCATACAATTGAAATTGTTCAATCTCGTTGAGAAACTCGGAGACACAGAATACTCTGGAAGGTTTGAGGAAGCACAGCATGTTGGGCTTCAGTCCCAGAGTTCAAGTTGCAGCAGTGTTGCACTGGCCCTGAGGATATGCATTTGTGGACACATGCCCGGGAAGTGCTTGAATGCTGAATGAGCCCGCACAGCTCACCTGGCTTGTTTTGCAGAGCACGGCCTGCTGGTCTCCCTCTGCTGCCTTTGCCCCACATACCCATCTTCTCTTACAACACCTTTCCATGCCAGCCAGTCTCACCTGCATTCTATCCGCCTGCTTACCTGGCTCCCTCACCAGAATACAAATGCCATTGAACGCAGAAACACTGCCTGTCCCATTTGCCAGCGCCTGGCACACACTCTGGCCCCTGGGCAGTTTATATGTTTGGAATGGATGGTTTCTGAATAGCCATAGTGGTGGCATCAGAAGCTAAGCCCAGGGCGTTACAGCACAGAGCCCGGGCTTAGTGCTTAGCGTAAGATTGCTGGGAAGGGTGCAGAAAAGCCCTTGGCTGTCTCTCTCATTTCAGTTTTGCACACACTACTCCATTGAGAAGTATGGTTCTGAAGCCACCGCTATGAAGAGATGGCTTTAATGCTTCTCTCAGCTCTTTCCTAACCGTCTAGTCCTCTTTTCCTAACCTATAAAACATGCACAGAACGAGTCGTCTTGTCTACGGTCCCCACTCCGCTGGCCACTTCAGTTACTTAGTACTGACGACAGTTCTATGTCTCAGCTCTTCCCTATGGGTCCTTCTTGTGACTGACGTCATAGAGGTAAAGAGTCTCCCCCCACTCAGTGGCCAAGAGCTCCAGCCTTAGGATCAGAGCTAGCTGTTTACAGGACTTCAAAGTTTTAGCCTTTTGACCAATTTGTGAAATGCTTCGAGCCTCCGTTTCCTCATCTGAAGGAGGACATAGTTGTAAGACTTACTTCACAGGGTCATTGAGAGGACCAAAGGCAGAAACCCAAGGAAAGTTTATAGCAAGGGACTGGCAAAGAATAAGTCGTCAGAAATGTTAATTTGATGATCTTCTGTTTAAGTTATGACTGATGCAATTCTCTCTCTGGTTCCCAGGATGGACTCCCAAGAGGGTTATCTACCTATCAGTTCTACAGTGCTGGTTTGTGGTCAGGTAGGGCAGCTTTTCAAGTACATGCACGGGCGAACAAAGAATCACCGATAAAGGGATGTGTCTCACTGTCAAACTCCTGCCTACTAGTCTTCCCTGCTTTAGTGACCTTTCCCTTCACCTGTTGCCCCCAGGGCACTGGGTAACCTTCCCTATTATCCAACTCTGTCCTCTTGCTTTTCTAAGCTGACTGCAGAAGCGGCTCATCTGCATATCCACAGCCCATTATAGATTGACAGGCTCCTGTTTTACCTCCCTGGTAGGAGGGAGCCAAAGAGATCAATTTGTATTCCTGGGACTCTTGGCTTGGATAGGGAGAAGTTCTGAAAGCGATCAGGCCTTGAGGACACCCACTCACACCCAGAATCTGATTTGTTGATGCTATTTCCAAGTTTTCAAGTCCCTTTGCTACCCTGCCCCAACTTCAGTGAGTTCTCCCGAGCTCTTCCCTGAGTGGGCTGAGTGTCGCACTACAAGAATCTGTCCCCTCTTAGAGCCCAGTGGTCCTTCTTCTCATTCCCACAGCTCAAATCTCTCCACCGTGTTCAGAAGGCTTGCAATCAACACTCCCTGTACACAGGGCATTTGCATGTTCATTTCCTAGTGGAAGAAATGAAATGAGTTTGGGAAAGCCTGGATTTACAGAGAAGCCGGATTCAACTGACAGGAGGCAGTTCATGAAAAAGACGCGTTTGTGTAGACGACACATCTGGGGGCTGCTGCCTTCCTGGATGAAATTATGGTCTTGGGACAGTCAGACAGACTCAGTCACTTGAAACAGAAGGAGGTGATATTCTGGGGTGATAAAAGAAAACACAACGATGGTGACAATAATATAATACATTTTAAACTCTGCCTCTGCCCGGAGGGCTCTTAATCACGATCTCAAAGCCCTCTCCCTCCATCTTGCCCATTCATCTTTCCCCCATCCCTGGGAAATAGCTGGCAGGTAGGTAGCAGAGCGCTATAAATAGAGCACCGTATCATTATCTTTGATGCGAGCACTGTGTATTTAGACAGCATTTTCTCTGAAGCACTCAAGAGCTCCACACACATGATATTATCTAATTCAAACTCATTCATGGAGTATCCCCCACATTTGCTGCCTTCCAGGCAGTTTGGAAAGCTCCAGAACCACAGAAATTCACATTTCCTATGCCAGCTCTCTCCCCTCCCGCTCCTATAGGAGGTCACAGGTGCAGGGAAATTCCCAGGGCCACTCTTGCTCACCTGAAGCAGCCATCATTGCAGCTTGCTCACCTCTTCTTTTTGGGGGGGACACAAGCACCCTCACACACCGACTCAGTTTTACAGTAATGATACCAAGGGATGAGGGGTGAATTTTTTTTTCCTGCCAGAAATCATGAGCCTATTTTCTGGTTTTGTAAAGTGTCATTTATTGGCTTTAAGATCTTGTGAAGATACAGGGTCGGTAATGGACTGGAGCATGCTCTGTCTGTATGAACGCATGGCAGAGACTAAGCTCCTAGAAGTCTCTGCTTACCTTGAAAGTGCACATCACCTGGTAGGCGTCTTTCACTTGTAGAAGCTTCTGTATTTCCCTCTCACTGACGCCATCGGCAAGTGACATTCTTCTCATATGTACTTATACTATACATCACAATTATACAGAATTGATCAGCTATGCAATTGTCACCTTTCCTGTCATCCTCGCTGTCCTAAAGTCTATGAGGACAAGTGCTGTGCTTGTTTTAATTAATTGTCTCTATCTCCTGAGGTGAGGGCATAGTCAGATGCTTAGCAAAAGCGTTTGCTGGGTGAACGCAGGAAGAAGGGAGTGATGGGAGGAACCACAGTGAGCCATCTCTGGGGCGGGGCTACCAGGGATGCTGTTTTGCATAGGTCTGAGTGCAAATCCTGTCATCAAATTTCCGAGAAACTACTGCCGTACCTTCACCTCACTCTTGGTCCCTGAGGTCCCTGGTAGCAGTTTAATAGAAATCATAGGTCGTTTGGCATCATCCGATAATTTAGTTGCACCAGAGACTCAAGTTCTTACGGGATCTGTTTTGAAAGCCTAGTACTTCAGGCAAAATCCCCCACCTGCACCTGTCTATGCAGTGTAGGGGGAGGGAGCAAAGTCTGGAGAATGGAAACATTCCTCATTCTCTATTGCTGACAACTGTGTGACCCTGGCCACATTCCTCAGCATCCGTCTCTCAGCAGTTACGGGAAGACAACTTCCACACTGGGTGGCTGTGGGAGTTAAATGAGAAAACACAGGCAGAGGGCTCAGCAAATGGTTGCCCCATCCCTTCCTTTGCCCCTTGACCTCCACTGCCTCCCACTATCCTCTCTTCTGGGGCACTTGCCATTTGGATGCTTCTACCTCGCAGGCTTTAGGCGCCATGCTGGAAGTGCTGAAACTTGGACTATATTTAGATGCCTTAGCTCTTTTACTTTTTTACACCACTGGGTTGCTATGGTGATGGTGGAGTGGGGAGGGGGAAAGGACAGCTTGAAAGAAAGCATGGAGCTCAGCCACGAAGATCAGCAGCCTTGCCCGTGGACTGTTTTTGTGAGCTGGCACTCTCTAAGGAGCCTTGCCTGTGCATTTCATCCAGAGATGCTACGAGGAGACTGGTAAAGGCCAGAACGGAAGGGAAGCGAAAGGAGGGGAAGGGAAAGGAAGGGAAAGAGGACTATGCAAAAAACTGCTTTCCTTCCCTGGCCTGAACACAGCTGTAAGCCCTGCAGCCTTCCTCAAATGGCGCCACTATCAATCAAGTCAGGCGACAATAAGTGAGGCTGGGCGGATGAATAACATCGGTTATATTGGAGTTCAGAAGTCATTCAGTCCAGACGCCGTCTCAAGAACAAAGTTCTGTCCCTACATCATGGCCCAGGGTTGTCATGGATTCAGTCTATAGGAGAAGTCAAGGTCATACAAGGGTAGAAATAAAACTGTGCTCAAAACTCTGATGTACTTGGTGGATTTGCAGGTGGGCAGGCAGGCTACAAGCTGATCACAAAACTGGGCACTGCAGAAAGAACTAGTGTTCCTAAAGCATCATTTCACTGAGTCCCTGGAGTGGCTTGGGTGAGTAAGATTATCTCTATCTCTTCATGAGGAAATGAGGCAGGGGAGTTGGGGATTTACCCACTGTCATAGTTGGTAAATGGCGGAGTTGGGAGTTGAACTCAGGCCATCTGGAATCCAAATCCATTGTTTATCCTGATATACCAATGGTTACCAGGAATAATTTATTAAATCTGAATACAATGCAAGTGAAAAAAGGGTACAGTGAAATCTAACCAAAAAGCAGCTAAAGTTAGAGCGGCCATTGCCAAACATGAAGAGTTCATCTTGAACAGTTTGACTTCTAGGATTCTGGGTAGGACCTTGC